AGATTTTTATTTTATAATTTTTTAAAGTTTAATCTAAAAATTAGATGTTTGGCGTCAGTTGACGATGAATATAGGTAAATATATTGTGAATTAATTGCAAAATTATTATAGTAGTACAATACTAGTAAGTAGTTAGTAGTAATACTATTGAAATATTGTCAAATGTTAATCCACCTTTTTTATTATAACATATTATATGATACTCAAATAAAACTATTACATTTTGAAACATTTAAAATAATTTTGTAAATGTAACCGTATAAGTTTTAGTATTAGATAGTTAAAAATAAAAATGTATACATTTCAAAGTTATACAATGGATATTGTGTAATTGTATTTTATAACTATATATAATACGTCAGTAAAACATAAAACATAAAATTACAAACTTGAGTAGATTTATTTGTAGTTTGGGAATCTTTGAAGATAACTTTCTACCAACTACTTGAAACGATATTGTCTTCGTAAATTGATAACATTGAATTATAATATTTCATATTCATTCAAACGCTATCACTCGTTCTGTTTTGTATCAAATTCACTACTTTTAAATTATGAATTCATTTTCTGAGATATAAATTATACTTCACGTCTATTTTCATTGTAATTAAATTTAAAAWTTTTTAGTATTTATGAAACATGTTATAGACAATATGTCATGTAATAAGTTTTAAGGAATAATCTATAATGAAATCGGATAACATTCGTTCAACTACTGATCTGTTTTGGAAAATGGAGATTCTTCTTATTTAAGTWAATAGTAAGCTAATTTATTTTCTCTGTCATTACATAATAATAAATAAATATTAACMAAATAAGTGATTCCCTGAGATACCAAAAAAATTAATAAAAAATGTAAAAAGCATGGAAGTATAATACAAAGTTAACTGTAAGTTTTTTTTTACCTATATAGGTACATATTATGTACAGTAAAAATATTTTTTAAGTCCATTGTCACAATTTCATAGGTTTGATGGGTAGGCGGAAAAAATGACCACGGAAAAAACCCACGGAAAAAAAACTCGCTGGGTTCTTCCCTCAAGATACATATATAATAATTTTAAAAAAAAACATCATTTATGCTTATTTAACTTTTTTTTTATTTACAGATTGTATAAACTAAATAAAAAATAAAAAAATATTATATAATAATTATTATATTAAATATAGATATATTAACATTTATTTTATACTTTAATTTTTTYGGAGGACTTTTTTCCGTGGGTTTTTTTTCCATGGGCTTTTTTTCCGTGGGTTTTTTTTCCGTGGGCATTTTTTCCGCGATTCGTCTGATGAGCACATAACCTTTTAAACAGTAAAAATGAATTAATTTTAAACTAATGGTGGTTTCTTGTAACAAGAGTGTAGAAAGTTAACAAGTTTATACATTAGAGTTACGTAAATGGTTTAAAAAAAACGAAAATTTTATTTTAATTCAAAAACGAATAATTGTAGATACTTGACTATCAAATATTCCTAATAACTTTTTTCGGTATAATATGGGATGACTTTCAAAATGTTTAGACTCATTTTGATCTATTTATAGGCGTTTAAAATCTTCGTTTTTTTTGTTTTTTACGAATATCTATAATCGATATCTATATCTAATCGATTCTCAAATAATATTAATATGATGTATTATTATAAAAGCTATTTATGTAAGTACTTAATTGTGTGGATAAATCCCGAGAAAAAATCGTTGATAATATTTAAGAAGTCAGCTGCAGCTGTTATCTACTATGATTATAATGTAGGCAAAAACTCATTGTTCTCATTGTTCTAAGTAAAATGTCTACGTTAATCACTGCAAATAATTATTGTTATGGTATGTTATTTTCCTTGAACTCACAATATTTTGCGAACGTTATTCCGTCTTAACGTCCAAGTGGAAAACAAAATATCTTAAAAACATCAGTCGCTGCGCCTTCTAATGGCTCTAAGTTATTTTGTGATGTACCTGCGCCGCCACCGTTAAAATACCGAAGCATCATTTCTCGTGGCCCTATTTTTATTATTATTAATATTTAATAACTCGGTTTATGTCTACGGGGAAAACCCTATAATAATGATCAAAGCGTCTTATGTTATTTGCGCGCGTGCTTCATGTTCGAAAACCATTTACATTCTCGTCCCGAGGAACACGAAATGCCGGCGATATTATTCCTGGAAGGTTTATCACCGGAAGCGACGGAAGCTTTTCCGAGAAACGAACGGTATTACGATATTTTGTCTACTAATCAATTAATCCATATTATTATGGTAACCTCGAAAAGCTCATTGAAGTTTTGTCAACCGGTGGCAACAAAGTAACTTTGATTGTTTTACAAAGCACCAGCTCCGCCGTATAATTTCGCGTAACATAATAATTTATACTTATTTGCATACAGGTACGATGTTTACTACACGTAATAATAACATACCCACACAATCACCCACAACACACCCACACGCCACGCGCTCAAGTCGTGTTTAATTTGTTTAAAAGCACATAGCTTCTTCTTCGTGTTTCGATTCACGAGACGTATATATCATGTAAATACGACGCCGGCTGTGACTTATGTAAATGTTACGATTTCCGGTTCAGCGGTTTTTGTTTTTCATCATTCCGCGACCGCCAAGACAATCAGACGGCTCCGTGTATACTCAACCACTCGGGATTTCGTCCGTCGGAGCAGACCCATTTTGGGGAGTGGTAGGGAGGGTGACGTAGGTAAATCGCGAGGATTAATTATTATACAACCGTTGCCCTGCAATACGACGGGCTAGAACACGAAATATACCAAAGTCATGAGATAGATTGGTTCAAATGGATTCTGTAAATATAAGACTTAGAGGCTACATGTTCGACCGGTGTTTGCAATATACTTGTAGTGGATAAGCACTGTCCGTATAGTAAGAAAAACAATCCCGAACACAAATTAATTTGTGAGGGGGGGGGGTCGTTTCCGTATTTATTCGGGCTTCGTTTCAAACGACTTGACCTCCCCCATAATTGTATTATAACAGGTGTTGGTATATTGGTACACATTGTAATGATATTAATACATTATGTWGGTACCTATATATAATTCATAACACATTTACACGTCATAATACGCGTATAAACCTACATTTCATTTATTGCTATTTTTGTTAGTTGTTAAAAATACGTGCTTTTGTAAGGAGTGGGACGTCCGAGAGCTAAAGCTGCATCCCCGCAGGAGAAGCTTTTGATATTATTTCAGAAATCTTTCTCACTATTAATGTTGATTTGTAAAAACGTAATAGTAGGTAATGATGCTTTTTTCTATAATGATATGCATGGTGTATCACTAAAATTCTAATGTTACATAGATCCGCAATAAGACTCTGAACAAACTGATTGAAATAAAGCGAAAAGTCGCTAAACATCACACAAAGAGCACTTATAATTATATTTAAAAAACATGACGTCCAATTATTTTTAATTTATAATCAAAAAATATGTATAATCGCAGCTTCCATTTACATTGTATAGTGTAAACTTCTAAATTATTTGTATGTATATCTGTTGTTTTATAATTGGAAATTTAAAAAAAAAAGTGGGTACCGAGAAATTATAATAATGAATATACAATGTACATATTTTTGTAATAATAAAATTATTAAAGACAAAATAAAGTGAAAAATATCAAAACAATAATTTAATTAATTCGTTGAATTAATAACTTCATGTAGACTATGTAATAGAAGAAAAAAAAATAMAAAATTGCTAAAACATTCAGCTAACTCCTTGCTATCACTTAATACAATTTCAAATATGTACTTAATTGTGTTTGAGTATCATGACGAAAATCTAAACGTTATCTATATTAGGTATGTTTTTATATCTTGGATATAAACTTCAACCATCGATAGTATAGATTCAATACTGTAATTACTTATCCTGGTTTTTGAAATTCTGAGTGGAGTGACATATTTTTTTACAGTGATGCATATTTCATGATCTGTCATCGCCTTTGGCTTTTGTGCGGAAAAAATCAAACTTTGAGAGTGGTTTCTTATAAAAATAAATGGATATAGTTGGTATACTTTGTAGAGTCTTAAGTAAAAATTCACAGAATTTTACAAAATAATCCGGAAACAAAAAATAAAATAAATAAGACTCGAATTTGTATTAAAAAATCAATTTTTATACATTTATTTGTATTATAAATAGTGGAGACTCAAAATGTTCAATGCCCAATATTGATAATATTAACTGCTGCAGCTCTTCAAAATATATTAAATTACATTTTAAATACATGATATATTAGATTAATTAGGTTGTGAAAAACAAATAATGTTACTTCTTTAAGATATGAATGAATTCAAACAGTCACTACATTATCTAAAATATCTCTGAACTCTGATAAACGATTGTCTGCAATAATTTTTTATTGTTCGTTATTTCCAATCGGCGACRAGCTACGCATTAAAACACTGTGATTTCATGACATGCCATATTCATATATCTTTGTTATACACATTTGGAACATTCCCGTGTTCCTATAACCCAATTAAGATGACTTAGTTGTTTACCTGGAAATATAAGACTATTACAATACTACGGTAGGTACTATTATAAAGACTTACWGATGTAAACTTATASAACTGGTCGGAGTTTTGAGCATGGTTATAAATAAATGTACTAGTTATTCACTAGGTAGCCTTTTGTTATCTGTGTATAGAAATACACTTATCCTTTATCTATATATATATACTTTTAGATTTATTAACTTTTTATCGTTGTCTGTATATTAATTATATTTATTCTCAAAACTGCATTTGTGACACCGTATGAAATTACTGCATTATCTGCAATTGACACCTTTAAAATATATTATGAATTATATTATATATATATATATATATATACGAATATCAAATACATCGAATTGTGGATGTAACGTTGTTGAGCTAATAGATATTATATTATATTTATTAAGTTTTTTTAAAGTAAAATATCGAAATATTACTATTTGTTTTTTATTCGGTTCCAGGTGGAAAGGGAGATTGCAATAATGAAACTCATCGACCATCCGCACGTGTTGGGCCTGTCAGACGTCTACGAAAACAAACGATACCTGTGAGTTTAACAATTAAAATTATTTAATATTTTGAAAGCTTATATTGTGCATTTTATTTTATTCATGTTCATGTTCCATTAAAGTAAATCTCATTATACTTTGTACCTTTTCATAATATTATTATATTATTTATTTGCTTTCAAAAGTTAACCCCAATCATACGTCCGGGAACTGAGGAGAAATATAATTTCCAATTCCCTTGATTATTGTGGTATCGTATTCAGCTCATCAAGTATATAATAATAACTAGCATRTGCATATTTGTTTTATTCATCTAACTTTACAAAAATATCATTATATCTCCGGGAAATTCRATGTGAAATACTAATCATATTCATGAAGTTTACGTGTCAAATCTATACGGGATTCGAATCGAGTGACCCATTAATTTAATGGCGGTATTTGTTATGGGAAATATCTAATGGTACATAATATGGTAATAATAATTCTATTTCATTTAAAACTTAAAGCTAGAATGATGTATTCAACACTGATATTTTAATGTATTTTGTCTGAAAAGTCAGCCTGAAATCATTTTCCCCAGATGTTGTATTTATATTATTTGAATGGTTTGGAAAAATAAATACAAACGAATCAGAATCGGGTTTTGAGCAATAAATTTAATACAAAAGAAAATATAATACCTAAATATAATAACTATATACATCATCTGTCTTACAATTCTATAGTTCAGATKGCTTAAATTATTATTATTATTACTAAGAAATAGCATGTGAAATTCTACCATAAAATGATGGGCCTTATCATTGTGGCGCCATTAAGTACCATGATAATAGTACCACAATGGCGTTGCACATATATTACTGTATACCAAGATAAATTCTTTATACTACATAAGAATATAAGATTCATTCACAATGAAATCGGCGGTTAATTCTAGTTACAATATTTTGATTTTTATGGTTGCCAATAGGTATAATATCTATATAATTTATCGTGGAATCGGAAGTTTCTACACACGAGTAACAGGTAGACTACTATATACGTTAATTCCTACATATTATGTGATGTGTAAGTTCCCACACGAAAAAAAAGGTATACGTATGTTATAGTTCCTACACGGTGGTAGACAGGTACATGTGTGTAAGTTCCTTCACTACGTATATTATAAGTTATCAATCTCCGTCTATAAAATACTGTCATACATTTTAACCCTTTATTCCATATATAAAATATAAGTAATGTATTCTGTATAATAATAATTCATAATTGTAAGAACATAATAGTGTGGAGTAAGTGATGAAATAATGTAATCGCACTCGTTTCAATCTCTATACATGGTGCCTAAAATTATTATAAAGAATGCATTTCTTATATTTTTTTTTACAATTATGAATTATTATTATATTAAAATTATTAAATTGATAATATTTATTAGGTAAATTAYTAAATATTATAAAGAATTATATATTATATTGTATAAAGGGTTAAAATGCATGACAGTATATTATAATATGATATCACTTATATTAGATTAATAACTTATTATATACGTAGTGTAAGAACTTAAACGTGTACCTTTTTTTACCGTGTAGGAGCTTACACATGAACCTGTTTTTTACTATGTAGGAACTTAGATCCGCCCAATTTATCACTTATATTTACTCATTTTTTATATCTATAATATATTYCTACGTTTTCTAATTAATGTAGTAGTACTGTTTATTATTATTCAATGATAATTTTAAGATAAAGTTACTTATAAAATAAAAAATAATTATTTTAATATAATTACTATGCACCTTTACAATATTTTCTTTCTTAACGCATAAAAACTTAGATATCTATCATACTTGTAGGGTGATGCGTTTTTCCTAACTTTTTTTTATACATTTTGACCCAAACTAATAATATAATAAAATATGAGGTTTTTAAGCTTATTTAAAAAAAAAAACAAAATTTATTTTACCTATCTACTACGTGGTCCAATGGAAAAAACAACTGTCATTTATTTTCATTCTTCCTCTATAGAATATATAAACGCGTCAATGTTAATTAATCGTTTAAAAATCCATTAATATTAGRTACAGAGTATTCGAAAACAAAAGCGATGGGTTGTAGGTATATACATGCAGCTGCTAGTATAATGGTTTTTGTTTTTGGAACGAACGTAGCTTACAGATAACAAAGTAAATAACGACATTCAATACCGTCCGAAAAGCAAACTCGATGTGCATTAATATTTGTCTAATGAATGAAATAACACAAATATATAAGGCATGTAAAAAAAGTAAACATCGGTATACGGTTTCACGATATATTGTCGAGTAGGTTCGGCACAATACATTATATATATATATGACATAAATATACATAATATGATATCTTTGTTGGTTTTTATAATTTGTTTATCAATCAAATATCTTAATGGCTTATAAAGTATGAACGTTTGCTGAACGATTGTCGTCGTTAAATATTTTATGAGCGAAGGGATGTTATAATTAAGCTAGTTGAAAATAAAACGAAACAAGCTAGGTAGTTGATACAAAACCAACAAAACATATAGGTAAAATATTATTTATGTTTATGAAGATGTAGAGTGTAAATAAATAGATGGTGTGGTTTTCAATAGTATAGAATCGCAACTTTTAGTTATATGTATACAACTATAAACAAACACCCAATCCACAAAAATCTAAATATTTACGTAGCTTTAAGATTAGTGCAAGGTTTAACAGAAATACCTGACAAATAAAATAAATTTTGTTCTAATCAACATTTAAACATTTTTTTTTTTTTTTTTGATACCAAAAATTTAAATTTTTAAATATCAATATTTTTTGGAGTAAATTAATTTGAAACATAATAACTTTTTTTCAAAATATTCTATTTAGGAATTGACATAAGTATATCTTTTAAATTATTTATTATACATATTATGGTTGTATAATGGGATATAAAAATTGTCATCTACTAAGAAATCAAAACATTTCAACGAAGAACCCTTCGTCTAAACTATTGTTCTTATTATTATGTCAAAAACCAAATACTATAAACTATGATCTTCATGATATAAAAACACAACCATCATTTGAGTATTCGATATCAATATCAATTCGAGTATATGTTAGCTTTATGTCATACAAAAGAACAACAACTAACTATATTATGCTAATTTTACAGAAAGAAAAGAATAATGTATATACCTAATATCGTGTGTTTCAACTTTAAAAATCAAAATATAATAACTGGTGCATTGAATAGGTTATATATTGTTATGTATTATCTTAATGGTCTCGTCAAGCATAAAGAAACTCTACTAAAATATTGCTTAACAGTCCAAAACTTATATTGGACTTTACAAAATATGTAACCGTTTGTAATTACTCAATATCGACTGTGGTACCCCTATTGTAATTTAAGAATTATAACAATTAAAACTTAAAATGCTCAACAAATCTCATTTTAATAAATGGATATAATATTTCAGATAGTAATAAATATGTAGAAATCAGGAATATTATATAGTTAATTGCTCATTTATGAAATTAATGTGTAACCTATGTATATTTATTCACGGTTTTTATACATTTATGGTGTACTGATGAAAACTCAGACGCTCAGTAAATTGATAAGAAAAATTATTTCAATTATTGAAATTGATAATACAGTGTACAACTTGCCATTTTGAATTCTGCCATGGCACAGATTACCAAAATTAAGTTATATAGATATGGAGCAAATTACAAGTACTAAAATCGGCACAAAATAATCCAATATCCCCTTCAAAGCGATAACGTTATAAACTGTATACTACGAAAGCCTGATAACAGCTTCAGTTTTATAATAGTTATATTAATTATGATTTCAGATACTTGATACTGGAACACGTATCCGGTGGCGAACTTTTTGACTACTTGGTTAAAAAGGGAAGGTTRACGCCCAAAGAAGCTAGAAGATTTTTTCGACAAATCATCTCTGCGTTAGACTTTTGTCACAGTCATTTAATATGGTAAGCATACGTTTCGTATAACATTAGGACGCCTTGATAAGTTTATCTTGTAGTATACCATGTGATAATATGTCAACTGTTCTATAATATTACACATTTACATCATAAAATATACATGTTTGTTGCACAGTTTTTTAGAATTAAAATTTGCATGTATTTTATGTCTGTACCTATACTAATTATTCGATMTTAACATTTCTAAACACACATTCTCTCTCCAACACTTTCTAAGCACTGTCAAATGTAAAACACATACTTATAATAAACTTAAATATTATATATAAAATACTTATATTTATTATAATTTMTTATTTTTAAGAAGATGTATTCAATTAAAACCGAAATTCCTGGTTTTTGAACATATTGGGTATACCCAATTATATAAAATTGTATTATAGAGTTTTTGTATTTTAATAATTCACCAACAATATATTATCTATTTTACAACAAGGCTTATATATTAAATATAATCCTATAGTATTATATCGTGTTTCAGTAGTCCCAAAACTGTAGGTCAAACGACTATAGTTAAAATGTCATCGATATTGAGAAAACCTACTTAATATCTTATCCTCTTTGCTAGTATTACGTACAATGATTACGGTTGGGCTGTAGAATATCGATTTCTCTAAAAAKAATGGCGAAAAGATATAACTTTATCTAAAACAATCAATACAATCCTGTTTAATAATTTAAACTTAAAAAAAATATAAATATAATATTTTTTATACAGTAAGAATTCTATGAAAAATTAAAACGAATATTCTTAATATGAATAAATAATTTAACTTTGATTTATTACCCGAAATAATAGACTAAAATGTAA